TTTCACATGACATGCATGATACTACATATTGCCAGCTGTTGGTGCACGCACCGCCAATTTAATTTGTAGTTTTTCTCAATTAGGACATTCAGTTAAAGTGGTATCTCATCATTTTCACGCGTCAACTTTTTTTGGTATGTGCATTTTTTTAAACAAACGATATTATCTATACGGGAGTAGGTGGGCTTAGTCTCACAATGAGTTAGCAATAATGTGGTTCAAATTCGCCTTTGGCAAGAATCAGATTTAAGACCTCTCACTTACAAGTGAAAAATGATACTACTGACTATAGCACTAAAAGACAGTATTTGCGTTTTTTAAGAAGCGTAAAATCTCAAACGTGGAATTTCCATATCTATGCCAATTTCTTTTATTTGTAAGAAAACTCATTTTCGTTGAACGTTGTGTATATATGTGAAATCCCAAAATGCCCTTAATGTGATAATTCAAGGTTTTGATGATAATTTCACCTACTTCATTTCTTATCCAACCTACCCCGACTATCTTTTGAATTTCTGTACACGACGATTTACAAAATTCGTTCAGGTAACACTATAAAATGTGATTAACTAGAACACTGATTTTACTTTTGTATACTAGTTTACATCACCCAAAATTTTAATTATATTTACTTCAAGAAGATTATTGAAGAATTTTCAATTGGAATACTGATAAAAAAGAGCAAAACATTCAACATCTATATATTACTATAACATACAAGTTATTCTAATTAGAACACAAGCAGGGCAACCAATCTTCTCGAAAATGAAAAACAAAATTCAACATTATTATTTTTTTGGTCGAACTGGAAAACAAGAAACAACTCTTAACAAACCCCCAAACCAAAATCAACCAAACATATCCCTCTCCCTCCTCTCTTGAAAGCAACAAATTTAAAGAAACAAAAACACTGTGGAGTAGCCATAGCTACCAAAGCATACACATCTATTGAACTTCTGCCTCACTCACAACCAGGCCTCATGCGACGTTATCCTAATCCACATCGACGCTCACGGGAGACAGTGGCAGTAGCACTGCCATCACGAACAGAAGTCAAACCACTGCTACCACCAGTAGCTGTGGACTTCTGTTCGGTAGCCTTCTCCATACCTTTCTTCACTTCCAACAAGCTTATCTTGTACAGCTTAAGCTCCTCCTCTCCCATGGTCTTAATCGGCTTAATCCACTGCGGACCACACTTGTCATGGTCCACCACTTGGCCTAGGGTTTTGCTCTCTGATGACTCCTGGTCGTCCGAAACCTCCACCTTAGCGGCATGCTGGGCTAGCATGTCTTCGACACGGTATTGCCCCGTGACACAAAACAGCTTTTTGTCCTTAGTCTCTACATAAAATGTGACTTCTTTCCCGGTTCCCTCCTTAAACTCCCGTACGTCTCTGGACAGGCTCATTAGTTTGCGCCGCAATCGTTGTTTGGACAGATTATTGGTTCGGGTTTGTTTGGACGAGTTCTTGGAGGTGACTATGCTGAAATCCATGACGGCTTAGGGTATTAGGAATAAGACAATACCTATAGCCAAGATAATATAGAGAAGAGGATTGGTATGATATATGAGTCAGGGCTACAGAGGTATTTATAGCACAGGTTGCATATGTCCAGAATTCCTTCCCTTGTAGGTTTGCCCTATGATTGTTCTTGGGTATATGGGGGCAATAATATCTTTAATTCTTTTTCTTTATTTGTGCATGCACCAACAAGCAAAAAAAGGAAATTATTTTTAGGGCTTACTTATCCAAAAACCAAAAAAGGTAATTATATATAGGGTTTCCGTAACCAAAAAACAGAAACGGAAATTAATTAATGGATAATTATTGAAAAAACATTGAAGGAAACAATCAAGCAAACAACAAAGCATTATTCTACTAAGTAAGACCAGCCATGTGATTCCTAAAACACCATTGTACTCGGTTTTGCGCTAAGTATTCCATTAGATCTAGGTACTCGATGTATTTTCTTAGAGTCTCTTTCCAAATGTTCTTAGGTCTTACTTTACCTCTTTTGCCTTGAGCATCTGTCTCATAATCGCATTTTCTAATTGAAGCATCCATAGTTCTTCGGTTGACATATCCAAACCGAAATAACAAAGAAGGAAAAGAGGCAAAAATAAAAATATGTGTTTTTCAAATAGGATGAGAATGCATGTTGCAGGAAGGGAAATTTCACCAACTCTTTACTAAATCTCCTTCAACCTCACAGTGAAAGAAGTTCAAGTCTTTTGTGTTCTTTTTCTTGTACCTTATATTATTTTTCCTTTTTGCTTCTTCTTTTTCAACATACTTTTTGCCTTATATTGTTGTTGAGTTGAGCACACTACACATTGTCGAGATTTCACGGGTTAATTGTTGTTGAGTTGAGCCATTTGCTAAATAAATTAAGAGAGTTTAACTAAAAATATTTTCATGACACTATCTTTTGCTAAAAAAATTATAGCCAACTTTTTTTATTTTTAAGGACACACACTAAAACATGGTTCAACATACAACTCCACCCCAATCCAAACACTGCTTCGACAGTCATCGGTTATATGTAAAAATAAAAAGTAATTTTGCAAAAGGAAGAATTTGATACAATTAGCATAAAAAAATTTCACCTACTAACTTTCCTCCAATAATTTGATAGTTGTGATTCTTTTAATGTAGCACATAGTAGCTTGGGCGTGCCAACTTTTGTGGTAAGTGCAATTTTTTTTAAGAATGTAGCATCTAAGGACATAGAAATCTCATATATTTTAATATTTTTCGCAACACAATTTTTCGATAAAAAATAAACATTAACCGTTGTGTACAAAATTGGTTAAAGTTGTATATGAAATTTCAAGAATAGCCTTGTACTTATTTTATGCTTCAATACGTAGTTCATTATTATGGCTCGTTTCTTTATCCGTAAATACTTGAACAAGGTTTTATGTTGGTCGGAATTGGATCTCATCCGAGAATCTCCACATCTTAATCATTTATCGTGTATCGTACAGTCAGAAATCATTTGATTTTTATTATTTAAAATTAAACACAAATAGTATCTGACGAAAACTGACCGCACGATTTACGATGAATGATTAGGATGTCAGAATCCTTAAAATCCCAAAAAATGGGTCCGGAGATGATCATTTTCCATGTTGGTCAACCGATACTTAAGTAGGGCGATAAGTAGTCAAAATAAAAATACATGCAACTGACACGAATACGAGAAGTTGAGATTACTCTATACTAAAACGAAATTGAAAAACACTGTTTATAATAGTGATTTGACAAAATTCTTTTTCTGCCCAAGTTCGGCTTTTTTCTGTTTAGCACAGTGAATTTACAATTTTTTTCTTCAATCACCTGTTGACTGAGGGTGCTGATTTGTGTTAAGTGTGACGGTGACACTTTCTTTTTTTGGTCAGAAGTAGAGAAATTCTATAAAATAAAGTTCAAACAGACAAATTACATCAAAGATCAGCATACAGAAAAAAAAAAACGTCACTTATGCAAACAAAGCATGAGTCAAGATTCTTCCCTATAGCAAATTACAAATAGTACACAAAGGAAATAAACATGAAACGGTTTCAACCCAAATACAAATCCTCCACAAGGATTCAAACAGTGGAGGCCCAAAGGCGGCTCACAGAGAAAACTCTACAAGCCTAGGTGAGAGATCACCCGCCGCAGTTGCTTGAAAACCATAAACGGCCGACAATCCACACCGCCAGATTCACACCACAAAATAACAATTATTCACCCCTATATCGGGGTCATACACAGACCTTCACAAGTCCCAAATAAATAACAATGCTAAATCACATAACAACAGCATCATAAAAACCAAAACAAAACTGAAAATTATCACCAATAAACCTACAAACCAAACGGAGAAGCCAAACCTCAATTGCTATAACCACTGCCCGGTAACCAGCAAGAACAAAGTTCCAAAGCCGGAGAAGTAGGACATGAATCAGAACCAAAGAAGGAGGCGGGGCAAAGCTCCGCACCGAACCCAAGTGCTTGGTTTCGCACACCTTCAACTGAATGAGCAACGATTCGCTCTTGAGGTGAGCAGCGGACACAAGAGCTCGGTCAAACTTCTCAATCGAAAGTGTGACGGTGACACTTGCTTATTCTAAACCACCGCCACCATTCTTCTCGCTAAAAACCACGGGCCACAACACCATTTTCCATTCTGCCAAAATTCGAGCTTTGCATGCACGAATTCGAATCCTTTCCTAGGTTTAAAATTTTCTTCCCATCCAAAACGGATTCACGCACTTCGTCCACTGGCGCTCCCACCAATCAACGGTGCAGTGTTCTCTTCGTCCACCGGCAATTCCTTGTGGGTCCCACTAAAACCCATCTAACGAATCAGAGTTCCCAAAAAACTTCATTTGAAGTACAAATCTCGTTCCGCTTTATACTAAATAAATATACCATGTGCCCAACGACTAAGTCAACAAAAGTCAACATATACTCAGTAAGGGTATTTTCGTCATTCTCCCACTCTAAGGATTTAAAATACTATAATTCAGGGACAGGTCGTTACACAAGAACCATGTACCACAAGTCAGCAAAGATTGACGGCACCGCGACCACGGAGAGCAGGGCAACCCCAACTCCTATGAACTGGTTTTCTAATGAGAAAAAAGGTATGCATACTTCAAGCAGGCTTTCAGTCAACTATAAACAAAACCTCACTTAAGAACACAATTTGTGATTTTTATAAAATTTGAGAGAAAACATATTAAATTGAAACGATCTCAAGGATGATATAACATGCTAAATTGATTAGTAAAGAAATATATATTTCCGATGACAAGTTGCTATCTTTTTAACTACCCATTCAACAACCCAATGTCCTGGATCAAACCCCTAAATTAATTAAAGTCCTCCTCGAGCATCAGTTTTTCTGGGAAAAGAAATAAAAACCAAGTACAGTTTTGGCTTCCTTGTCCATCAAACCTATGTCATTGTGCAGCAGGTTTTAGGGTTTCGCTAATTGACAAGTAATAGAAGAAAACCCAAGAATGAAATTTCAGCTCCACAAGTACAAGAAAACCAACTCAAGTCTGAAAAATGAGAGTCTATTTCGGTTTCTATTTGTACACTTCGAATACGAAGGGAAAAAACAAAAAGGGAAAGAAAGCAAGCAAACCAGACAATGTGCAGGTCTCTCTCCAAAGATTATGCGCAAAATAGACCTAGCTGATATCCTCCAAGTTGCCCTCTCACTCTCTCTCTCTCTCTCTCTCTCTCCCCCCCCACTCTGGTTGTAACGTAAGGGGACTTTTCTTTTTCAGCTGTTGAGATTGATCCAACGACACCTGCAACTTACTCCTGGCAAATACTCCCACTCGTGATAGCCTCGTGGATGTTGAGATTGATCCAATGACACCTGCAATGAACCAAATTGATGTAAGCATATTTTGCAGACCAAGCCAAGTCAAGAACCTTGTACTACAAGTCTGCAAAGATTGGTGGCACCATGACCATGGAGAGCAGGGCAACCCCAACTCATATGAACTGGTTTCCTAATGTGAACGTATACATGATTAAAGCAGACTTTATTAACAAAACCTCACTTAAGAAAAAAGCTTGTAAGATACAGGACACGACGTACCTTACAATATAGCTCTGAAAGCTAGCTGCTACAAGTGAATGTTGCAGAATCAAATGGCTAAAACTGTTAGAATGTCATCCAGTTTAACATTATGGACATCACAAATCTTCAATTTCAACTTTCCCTTGATACAAACTCAACAGTTGAGGTACTTGGTCTAGGTATCTGGTCACAAATCTCTCCAAGAACAGCTTCTCCACTTGCAATAACACATAACTCAAGCTAAAATTTTCATTTATCAATCCTTTCAATAACAAAACCTTAACAACTGAACACCTTGGGATGATTCTATTCTCCAAACTTAGGCACAAAACCGCTGGGCACTTTGCGAGTAGTCCCGATGACCATCCCATCTTGTTGACAAAAAAATCCATTGCTAGCGTTATTTTTTTCTCAGATAGATTCATACACTGCGGGTTTTTCCTGAAAGCAAAGAGAATATCATCCTCAGACCAACCCCAACTCCTGTAAACTTCCCGACTTCGATCCCATATCAACTTACTATTCTTACTAGACAATGAGCGTAGCGCAAACATAAAAGTCGCTTTTTCAAGATCAAGTCCCTTATCCCTCACCTCATCCACAACTTTACCAAAATTTTCAGGCTTTTGCATTAAAGTTTGGGTGCATTGAGCTAGCATCAGAGAAATGCATGATTGGGAAACACCCAATTCTCTCAACAGCCCAATATTTGGAGCCACATTCTTGCAGTGACCTTCCAAGAAAATTCGAGATCGAAACTTGAAAACCGAAACAACATTCTTCTCCGAAATCAGACTCCTAAGGAACTCATAAGTGGGTACAATTCGGTTCGCCAAGCTTACGGATAAAAGATGTGGAGTAGAAGCCAGAGTTTTGGCAAGCTCCTCCTTGGAAACTCCGAGGGAGCTGAAAAACTTGATCTTGGGCAAAAGGGTTCTCTCCGGATACGCCAACAGAACTCTCGGGTACGACCTGACGAGCTTTGAGATCTGGATTTCGGAGAAGCCGTGGTCTCTCAGAAGGGCCAAAACAGAGTCTGCCCTTTCTGGGTTTTGCAATTCGAGCATTTTGGACGCTGAAATTGCAGCTTCTGGGGACAACCCACATGACCTTATGAGGTAACCGACGGTGAAATTGTGTAGGTTTTCTGGGATTTTTGAGGTGATGGGTCTGTAAAGCAACTGGTTTTGAAGAGAAGAAAGTGAGGGTTTTACATTTTCAATCACTAATCTCTTGTTTCTGGAAGCAAATGGAGAGGAAAATATTAAAGAGTATAACCTGGGGGTCTTTGAGCTGCAGAGTAGAACCATGTTAGATGCTGCCGGCGACGAACGATTTCTCACGGCAAACCCCAGAACCCTTGGAGTGGCTCTCAGGTCTCTAGAACCCATAAGTAGGGGTGAATAAAAACCCACAAATTAACCTCAGGAAAAATTAACAAACACACGTGTCGTTTAATTCACATCAAAGTCGAAAATCACCCACTATGAGAAATTATTATGACTCGTTGATATACTTTTAGAATGACTAAAAGTATTTTTAGAGAAAATATTTTTCTGTTGTAAAAGCACTTCAAGTGTTTTTTGTAAGAAGCATCAGTTATGTGCTTATTCCAGGAAGTATTTAAGTGATTTTTCATAATTCATTTGCATTTTTACTATAGATGAGTTCCAAAAATATTTTTACTAAAATACTTTCACTTATTTTAAAAGTACGTCCAAACGAGCTCTTAGTGATCCTATTTTGTTAGAGATCAAGCTCTGATAGCCCTTAAAGAAATTTTAAAGAAAAACTAATGAAAATAGCTAGAAAACTTTGAGTTTTAACGATAAAGACAAAATAAATGGTAAAATAAATAGTACCAGAATTAACTTTTTAACGTAAAAATGTGGTTTTTCGTTAAAGTGAACAGTACTGTAGGCTTTTCGTTAAAACTCCCAAATTTTAAGCCCTATTAAACATCAAATGTTCATCACCTTTGAATCATTTGACTTTTATTATTTTAAATTAAACATAAATAATACCTGATCAAAACTAAACGTACGATACACGATAAACGGTTGAGATGTGAGGATCCATAAGACCCCACATAATGGATCTGGAGGGGATTTCCTAAATCAAATTCTAATTTAGAGACCAAATCAGAAGAACTTTCTTATAAAAAAAATAAATTACAGAGGCTATAAACCTAAATCTACCAAATCCACCAAAGCCACAAATTCTGGCCTTCGAAATTTGATTCAACAGTTAAAATTATTATAACTTTTAAAGTAAACCATTATTTATAGCCGTTGAATCAAATTTTAAGGATCCAAATTTATGATCTTGATGAATTTGGTGAAAGGATCTGGAGAGAATTCTTTTTCCTAAATACTTATCAAACAAAATTTCAATTTAAATTAAAGAAAATAAAAATTGAAAACAAAATAGTTATATCGTGGCAATTACCAAAAAAATTACTGTAAGAAATCGATTCCGGCTCATACCGTCCTACGCTGAGAAACTTCACAGCAGGAAAAAGGAGCTCATACTTCGCAAAATTTGATCTCAAAGCCCGTAATTTACCCAAATCCACTTCCAAGTCACTGATTTCAATTTCCGCGGTCGAAGCCGTCGTCGTCAATGTTCAGCAACAACAGCATATCAATCTCAGTCTCCGACGACGAAGCGGACGAACTCGGCCGGATGCGAGTTCGAGTTCGAAGAAAGCGCAAGAAACTCGGCCACCGACTCAAGAACGAGTTCCTCTACCGAGTCGCTAGAAAGCTCGTCAGGTACTGGGCACTTCTCATTTTTCTCCCGGCCCTTGGGTTGCTCTTATACGAGATTTCGAGGATTGGTAGGAAGCCGAGTTTGGTGGTGAAATCGGAACTCAGTGCGCCGGAAAAGCCGAGTTTGGTTGGCGCGGAAACGGTGAAGAACTCGAGTTTGGAGAAGAAATTGGAGGGGAATTTGAATCGGCTCGATCATACGACTCGGGTTGTTGGAGGCGTTAGACAACGTAAGTTCAACTCTTGCTTAATTGCCATACGTTTCGGATGCAATTGTACAATGGGTAATCGAAATTGTGTTAAGAACGAGTTCAAAATCTTTAATTTTTCTTTCTAAAGAGTATAAGGAAACGATTCTGCAATCTGCATAGTGTTGTAAGTTACTTACTTTTCTAATGACGTTGTAAATTTCAATGAGTGTAAGCTAGAATTGTGCCTGTTAGATTAATGGGACTGCCCGAATGCCGATTATCATGCATTACTTGGCACCCGCATTAGTTAACGATTCGGAGTGATTGCCGAGCTTGCTTTGTTGTTTCTTTAGTGTTACTGATAATTGGGTTGTGCATTTTACTGTATTTGGAAAATTTTATTTTATTTAGGATTGGAGTATTGAAGCATTTTGAAATGTGACGAAAATTTGCGGTAATGTTAGGTTGTTTGGACATCCTATCTCCTGAAGAACTTGAGCATCTGGAAATTCCTATTCGCGAAGATTCCAATACTCCTGTTAAGAAAGTGGTATACATATCAGAGAATGACACTCCGTTTTCAGGAGGGAACAACAGTCTTTCTCAGGAGCACACACAGGCCCCAAGATTTAATTCATTTACCGGAAGTCAAACTCTGGATCAGAGAGCGAAATCGTTTAAGGTTATAAGCTGCATCTTTGTTTTGAAACTTTGAACTGGTTTAGTATTCTATCTGGTCTTTGTCATGTTAAAGGTCAAATTTTAAGATGCATCTAATTTCTTTAGGTTTTGATGTAGATGTTATTTTTATTGTGAAGCACATTGAGGTCTTTACTTTTTGCCCGATTTTAAACAGAAATAATAATAATAATTTGTACTGTGAGGCGGTGTTCATATTGTTAGAAATTTGTTGCTCACAGGTAAATGAAACTGTTACTATGAACTGTGGTTTCTACAGTGAAAATGGAGGGTTTAAAATCTCAAATGAAGACAAGGGGTACATGGATAGTTGCAAGGTTGTAGTGTCCACATGTGCATTTGGTGGTGGAGATGATCTTTATCAGCCTATTGGAATGTCAGAGGCAACACTTCGAAAGGTTTTTGTCTTTTCAGTCAAATATTACTAATTCGCTTCAAAGTTATAAATTCTTATGAGTACTGAATGGATGCAGGTTTGCTATGTCGCTTTTTGGGATGAAATTACTCTAAGTACACAGGAAGCGGCTGAACATAGAATTGATGGGAATGGATTTATTGGGAAATGGCGCATTGTGGTTGTTAAAGATCTTCCCTTTTCGGACCAAAGGTTAAACGGAAAGATCCCAAAGGTAACAACTTTCAGAGTTAGGTTAAATTATTATCTTTTCTCTATTTTCATTTAGTTTGTTTAAGTTCAATTTAAAAAATTTATCCTGATCATGTTGCTATCTCTTGTCATCTGTCATTTTCTTTACTTTTTAATTTTTGCAAACATTTTTGTTTTCATGATACATGAAGCTATTGCAACATGGAACCTATTTTCTGTAATTACATTAATAAGTCAAGTAAAGGACAATAATTTAAGCAGAACAATATTAATCAAGGGACGCTGGATCTGTTCTTCATGATATAATAGGTTTAAGCTAAATGTCAAATATCCAAAAAGTTCTGTTACAAGTGCTAGCCAAATATCATGTATAGGTGTATGTGGATATTTATCTGAGACTTCGTATATTTTTTCTGGTGTTAGATGTTGCCCCATCGTCTTTTTCCTCATGCAAAGTATTCCATTTGGGTAGATTCAAAGTCCCAATTTAGGAGGGACCCTTTAGGTGTGCTCGAAGCCCTACTTTGGCGTTCAAATTCTGTACTTGCAATCTCAGAACATGGAGCTCGCAGTAGTGTTTATGATGAAGCGAAGGCTGTTGTGAAAAAAAACAAGGCCAAACCAGAAGAAGTTGAGGTGCAATTGACTCAATACCGCCATGATGGCTTGCCAGATGACAAGAGGTTCAACGGAAAGAAGGGTATGCTTCTTTTTCTTTCACTTGTTCTGGCTTGATCTCTCTTATGAAATATTGCTATTTATGATGCTTCATGATTGTAGCAATTCTTGAATTCCATTGCTTCTTTGTTGAGTACATCTTTTTGAAGTAGGAGCAGTTAAGCCTACTGCATGCCTTATTGCTTTCCTTAATTCTGTATATAAGGTGACTTACTCCTGGGTTTTACCGAATGTAAATATCTTAAAATTTTGACATTGAGAAGAATAGTCGAAATATAAAATCAATCTGTTTATTCATGTTTTCTTATCAGTCTGTTCGTAATTTGAAACAATCTGTTGATTGCCTCAATTCTGCATATTTTCACTTGCTCCTCTGCGCATCATATACTCATACACTGATTCCAGCAGGCCAGTCCGCTCCTCATCAGTCTACTTCAGATTCATATTTTCCCAATTTGTGTTTAAAGTGGGTTATGAGCTCTTCCTCGCATGTCTGCTGCTACCAAGCTTATTTAGATACTTGAGAATTAAGAAATAACCATACTATATGAAAAACTCCAAAACTACAAAGCTGGTGATCTCATTGTCTTGCATTTTGTTCCTATACTGAACCATTGCGTCGTTAACCTGTGCAGCTTTATCTGAAGCATCTGTTATCGTGAGGGAGCATACACCATTGACTAATATGTTTATGTGCCTCTGGTTCAACGAGGTGGTTCGGTTCACTTCTCGCGATCAGCTTAGTTTCCCATATGTATTATGGCGGTTGAAAGTGCTCAAGAAGATAAATATATTCCCTGTATGTACCCGGAAAGATCTTGTTAATAGTATGGGTCACATACGCAAGGCTAAGCCCCTTAGAAGTTGACTCTTTGGTAACAGATAGTGCTTCGATTTCTCAATTATTGAACAGGGGCGCGCTGGGGTGCTCGTCTGGTGTGTTCTTAGGCAGTAGTAGATTCCTTCCATTTTCTAATTTCTGTTCATAAACATTTTACAGGAAGAGAAAAGAAAATGATTTTTGCTTTAGAATTTGCTGTGCAAGACTTGTTGTAGTACATCGTGCAGCCTGTTTTCGTCAGGTATTATTTATATTTAATTTTAAATAAAAGTATTTAAAATTATTTCTGACCATACCATGTACGATGAACGGACATGATTTGAGGATCCGCACATTCCCGTTCATAAACTCCGAGAAGGCTTTGTCAGGAGTGCAAGAGTGGTCTTGTGCTGCTGCTGGTAGAGTTTTCCTTGATCTTTATAAAGCGTCAGGTAATTCACTTTTGTTTCCCAATTAAGTATGAAAATATGCTTTAATATTTTGGCTTTATAGCCAAAATATTCTCTAAAATTGTCACAACTATTCTCTTTGGTTGCTAACAATGAAAATCAATAAAAAGCGTTCTTAAGTTTATCCATTGTAATTCACTTTGTTCTTTATGTGAAAAATCTGT